GCAGGGATGCGGGCAGGGCGGCGTGCGGTACCCTCTCCTCACCGCCTGCGAGGTCTGAGCCCTGAGCGAGGCGCGAGGCACATATTTTCTGATCAGGAGTGTCTGGCGTAACAACCCGAGTCTCCTAAGCGTAATGGAAAGTGCCAATAAAGTAACTCGGTTATTCTGATAAACTCTCCCCTTGTCTTTGACGATACCCCTGTGGCCTCCGCAGTCCTTCTTATGAATAGGGTATGACACCTGCTAGCTGGGGGTAGTATATTGACTGGCAACGCAGAGATGGCCTCCTCATTTGCCATCTCGCCTGGCTGACGAGACCCCGCTTGGCGAGCCTTTCGCTGAATTCATTAGGACTGGGAGTCTGCCGTCTCGGGAGCAAACTTTATCATAGACACCTCATCGAGAAGTTGAAGTAATGTTATGAAAGAATGAAAAATACATTTGGGAGCTGCCTGGAAACTGAAGTACATTTTGATTTAACTTACATTAACAGAAACCTAATGTAAAAGTGAAGGGATCTAACAAAACCATTAATAATTTAAAAATAATTACAGATAGTCTATCCTTACTATTCATAACCACTCAACATTTTAGACAAAGAAAGCTGAATATTCTTTGTGGGAGAAAGATGTGAGCAGACTGCTAAGCAGGAGCCGTCCGGCTCGCGCTGCCTCTCCTCTGCTCGCCTGTATCGCACGTTCCCCACGGTACCCAGGGCACCATCCAAAAAGTACTTTTCCAGGAGGGAGGGTGAAAGCTGGCTGGAGGCGGGAGGGCAGGTCCTGCCTTTGTACAGGGCTTTTTGGCAGGCGTACGGCACAGATTCCAACCCCTCCTTCTTGCTGGAGTTGCTGTTTGAAGTGGGCCCAGTCTGGCAGGGGAGACCAAAGGTGCTCTCGTGCCTCCTTGGGCTCTCACGAAGCTCTGCCAGCCTTGGAGGCCTCAGGAATGGCCTTTTCCATCCGTAGCCTCGGTTAAAACCAGCGGCAATGGTGACTCTCCTGTCCCATGCTCTGCCGTGCTATTTAACGACAGCTGATATCAGCACCGTACATCATCCGCTTGGCTTGCCATGGCGCCGTACAAAAGTTATTTTTAATGCATCCATTTTAATTCAAGTTTCCATCGTACGCTTCATAGCTCAAGGGTCTTGAGCATCCTGCAGGGCTGTGATTTTGCCTGCGTTTCTGTTGGTTTGAGGTTTTTTTTGAGATACGCCTGCTGTCCAAACACTGTGTAAAGTCAAAACAGCTGGATATGAGGCAAACTTCACTGCTTTTCCTTGCAGATAAAGATAAAATTGTAAAGAGGGAAACCTAAAGTGGCTTCTAAAGGAAAAGAAATATCGGACAATACAAAGCAGGTAAGAAATTCAGGTTTAACTCTCACAGGAACCTATCTTACAAATAGCCTCACAGGTGGGATCCCTTCCTAACTGCTTCCCCAACCACTCCTTGCACTGAAAACATTAAGATCTCATGGATCATTAAAAAAAAATCCTATAAATCACACTGTGGATGTCCTTGGGACTCTATTCTTGCTGATTTAGACAAAGCCCTGGTATCTTAGATTACCCTTCATTAATTATTTTCATTAATTTCCCTTGTTATAGATGTATTATCACAAATCATATTCCAAACACATCCCCTAATTAAGCATGAAATTCCTCTCTACCTCCGTATGCCATTTAAACGGAGCAAGGAGAACGCGCATGTTCAGCGCGTCGCTGCTGCACAGCCAAGCCCGGTGCCCGGAGGCTGGTGGCAGGCAGTCGGTGTGACAAAAGACGGTGCTTGCATGTCAGCTATCTTTTGGGACTTGCTCTAACTCAGAGAAAATACTTCGATTTCCCATTTGGTCATCAACATGGGCATGTTCTCAGCTCAGAGCTCTTAGCCCTTCCAAATTTTCAGTGTCCTCCATCTTCTTCTGCAGTGTTTTCAAGGTAAATCTGAGTTCCTTTTCTCCCCCTTCCACCATGCCAGGTGTTGGCTGATCTCTTTATACATCCCCAGGATTCACCAGGCACCACAGAGCAGCCTTCCCTTTTCAGCCAGGAAGAAAAACTATGACAAGTGATAAGCATTGAAAAAGGTGATGTAAACCTCGTGTTTCTGAGAAGGCTGTCACCAATGGATAGATGCAATTTTTAAAATGGTTTAACAGTTGCATCACTGGGTTGGTGTTTGTGCCTCGGAGCCATTAAATAGTGTGCTAAAATACTTATTTAGGTAGACAGGGTCCTGCAGCCCCACGTGAGAGGTGTATAATGTACAGCTGTGGTATTTGGTGTGCGCTGTGGCATGTTCTGTGCTTTCCACGGTCTCCACAGTTTTGGTGAGGTCTTGCATGGACTCGTCCTGCTTTGTGAACGGGTAGCGGGAAATGTCTGTGAATTGTTCTGTCTTCTCCCTTTGATCCAATGTCCACACAATCAGAGCATGGCGGGACTCGACCCTGGCTGGTGAGGAAGGCCCCCTAGGACCAGCCTCTGCCAGAAATATTAGATATGTGCTGAAGCATCGGTCCCTGCAGGACCAGGCACGCTAAGCTCGGACTGAATCTACAGGCTCATCCACCTTGAAAACCAAGCTTTCATTCTCAAAACATATACCTGGGCATAAGAGCAATGAAAATGTTTGGGAGGGGTCCACCTTACATGTGGACATAGACACTCGTCTGTTTTATTCAAGGCTAATCACAAATCCTCAACTTCCCCCCCCCCTCCCCCCTTCTTTTTTTGGTTAAAATTCAGTAGAAATGCATTCCACCTTTCCTACAAGCTCTGGGCACACATCAAAGCCCTTCCCTTCACACACACAGAATGGGCAGATAGCTGCCTGGGTTCTCCTATCCCTTTTTATAAATGAAATATTGTATGTTCTGAAGACTGTTAATATAATGAAATCAAATTGTGAAATGCCTCTGCAGCTCCTATCAACATTTCCTATTGGAAACAGCCTGTTAGGACTACGTTACCACGTGTCTCTCGCAGTCCTGAGACAGCAATCGAATTCCAGTGAAATCTCTTACCAAAGGCAATCAAGTCGATCAATGGGAATTTTGCCAGTAACATCAAACCTGATTAAATGGTTCTATGTTAAGAACGGCAAATACACACATGGAGAAGAGGACGGATCAGAAAACGGGACTATGAAGATAAAGAAAAAATGCAGAAAGAAAAGAAATGATACCCAGAAAAAAAAATGCAGATTAGTAATTGACTGACATATATAGCCAATCCAATACAGAGTTTAAAATGCAGACAACTCAGTTCATAGCCTGTAACACAAACTTCTGTAGAGGCATTTACTCGGAAGAACTCTGATCCACACATCCCACTTCAAATATTTTGCTGAATTGGGATGAACTAAACTTGTGCTTAACCGCTTTACTGTTTGTTTTGACGGGGAGACCTGGGACAACCCAAAGAGGCTGTCATTTTAAAACTTTCAAATATCATCACCAAGCTGCATATGTCTGCGTATGCATCTGTTGCTATGTATATATAGTAAATAGTCACCATCCCTGGAAGTATTTAAAAGACGGGTAGATGAGGCGCTTAGGGACATGGTTTAGTGGGCATGGTGGTGTTGGGTTGACGGTTGGACTCGATGATCTTGGAGGTCTCTTCCAACCTTAATGATTCTATGATTCTATGATTCTAAATATAGCATCAAATCATATTTTTACTTGTAAACCCCTTAACAGTTATGTTGCCTGGTAGGTACCCTGACATAGTGAACTTATTTGAGTCAAATGCATTTTGTTTTTCTTGTTTAGGCCAGCATGTTTCCTTGGAGTAAGTGAATTAGTTCCTGCACACCCGTGAGACGGAGGCGACACTTTCTAACGGGTCCCAGCACGCCTGTCCTTCCCAGTGACTTGGGCTCCCAGTGTGCTTGTCTGCCTCTGAAAATGTTCCTGCTGGGTCCAGACGCTCTAGCCCAAAGTAGGCCAAAATGGTGGGGCACTTTTTTGGCGGTTTTTTGTTGTTGTTATTGTTTTGGGGTTTTTTTTTGTTGGGGGATTTTTGTGTTGTGTGTGGTTTTTTTTTAGCTTGATATAGTTTTTAATAGTGTTTGTGGATATTTTTGAATGAGGGGGGTTGGGTCTGACAAAGCTTTTACAACCATTAAAACGTGTCTGCTTTACGTGCTGACAGCTGTGGGACGGCTCTTAATCAGGAGGGGTGCGCTCGGGAGCGCCCTGCCCGTGGTCCCTCCGTCTGTGCTGGTGACCGGCGGGTTGGTGGCATCGGCCGGGGGGGGCCCGCCAGCGTCCCCACCGCAGGGAAGGGGTGCGGTGCGGTGCGGGTGGCTGAATTACTGCCGCCCCATCCGTATGAGTACAGCCGGGGCACCCTGGGGGGACACGAGAGGAAATTAAGGGCAGCTTGTGGCTGCGAGGGGCTGCTCCCTTGTTTTTTTCCCGGGAGGCCGGGGCAGCCCAGGCGGCGGGGAGATGGGCTCAGGGCCAGGATCCTCCCCCCTCTCCCCGGCTCCGGGGTGCGGCGGCCCCGGGTGATGCTTTAGGGCGGCGGGGGCTGGCGGCAGCCGGAGCTCGTCCGTGTTTCCGTGGGTAAAACCGGGGTCAGGCCC